AGCGACTGATCCAGCCTTGGGATTGGGGGGGGTTGCTTCCTAGAGGAAAAGGAGTGAAGGTGAGATTCTCTCATTCATTCTTTTTTTTTTTTTTTATGCTTTTTTGGGTCACAAAGTTACTCCTGGCTCTGCACTCAGGAATGACTCCTGGCGGTGCTCAGGAGACCATATGGGATGCTGGGAATTGGACCGGGTTGGCACCTGCGAGGCAAACAAACACCCTGCCCACTGTGCTATCGCTTCAGCTCCCCACCCCACCCCCGTTTTTTGGTTTTGTTTTGTTTTTGCTTTTTGGGTCACGGTTACTCTTGGCTCGGCACTCAGGAGCCCTCCCTGCTGTACTATCTATGGCTCCGGCCCTCCCATTCATTCTTTCATTCCTCATCTTCTTTCCTGTGCCCTCTCTCTCGCCTCAGTCCAGGGGGCTCTACCTCTCTACCTCTCAGGTGCCCACTCCTGTTTCTTGCCTTCAGACCTCCCTCCACCTGAGCCCAACTGGGAGCCCTTTCTGTCCTTCCTCCTACCCCCCCCTCATTTGGGGTTGGATTCGGGGTGTGGCTAACAGTGGCCCCGCCCCTCCCGGGGCAGGCCTCGCCCACACGGGTAGGGCCACGCCCCCGGGAGAGGCCACGCCCCCTCCCTGACCCCCAGGCGCCCCGCCTCTCCCTCCCTCCCTCCGCAGCGCTGATGCAGCAGGAGGCCGCGCAGCGCGAGGCGGAGGAGCTGCAGCGCGTGCAGTGGAGGCCGCGCCAGGTGAGCGGCTGGAGCCTGCCGCGGCTGCTGTGGTACCTGGTGTTCCTGCAGCCCGTCATCACCGAGGTGCACCTGCGGCGCAAGAACGTGAAGTTCCTATTCATCCGCTTCAGCGCCTGGCAGTACGCGGGCACCGACAAGCTGTGGGCCGGCCTGGTGACCACGCTGTGCGAGGGCATCCGGCGCCAGTACGGGGCGCTGCCCTTCAGCGTCTACTCGGTCCTGGGCAACAAGCCGGCCACCACGTCGGGCTTCCGCCAGCGCGAGTGGCACTGCCGCCGCCGCGTGTGCCTGGGGCTGCTGGCGCTGCTGGCCGCGCTGGGCCTGGGCGTGGGGCTGCTCTACCTGTCGGTGGGCGCGCGCGCGCCGGGCCACGCGGGCGCCGGCGGCAACGTGCTGCGGGTGTTCGGCGGCGCGGCCACCACGCTGTCGGGCTCGGGGCTGCTCATGGCCGTGTACTCAGTGGGCAAGCACCTGTTCGTCAGCCAGCGCAAGAAGATCGAGCGGCTGGTGTCCCGCGAGAAGTTCGGCAGCCAGCTGGGCTTCATGTGCGAGGTGAAGAAGGAGGTGGAGCTGCTCACCGACTTCCTGTGCTTCCTGGAGATCTACCAGCGGCGCCGGCTGCGCGTGGTGCTCGAGGTCACCGGGCTGGACACGTGCTACCCGGAGCGCGTGGTGGGCGTGCTCAACGCCATCAACACGCTTCTGTCGGACAGCCACGCGCCCTTCATCTTCATCCTGGTGGTGGACCCCAGCATCCTGGCCGCCTGCCTGGAGAGCGCGGGCTCCATGAAGGGCACGGCCGACAACGGCTACCACTTCCTCAACCGCACGGTCACGCTGCCCTTCTCGGTGCCCATCATGGGCCGCCGCACCAAGCTGCAGTTCCTGCAGGACGCCGTGCAGAGCCGCGACGACCTGCTCTACCGCGAGATGACGCGCAAGCTGCGGCCGCCGGGCCAGGAGGCGACGGCGGGGGCCGAGGGCGCGCAGCTGCTGGCGGTGCAGACGCAGCAGGAGGGCGCGGTGGCGGCACAGAGCCGCGTGGACGCCGAGGCCGCACGCCGCATCCAGGAGGCGCTCTTCTGCCTGCACGACGAGCGCGACTGCCTGTACGAGTACGTGCCCGACAACGTGGTGTCCATGCGGCGCATCGTCAACACCGTGCCCATCACCGTGCGCCTGCTGCAGCAGCAGCAGCTGCAGGGGGCCGCCCCGGGCCCCACGCCGCGCCAGGCAGTGGCGTGGGTGGTGCTGGCCAACCAGTGGCCCTGTCGCCTCAGCTGGGTACTGCAGTGCCTGGAGGACAGGCAGCAGGCAGGGGGCGCGCCTGAGGCCCGAGCACGCCTCTGGGACGTGTTTTGCGACATTAGCCCAGAGCTGCACACCATGACTAAGGCGCTGCAGAACGTGCTGGACCTCGACGGGGACCCCGAGCTTTTCGAGCGCTTCCTGGACACCGACTTCCCCTTCACCGTGGGTGAGGCGCAGAGCTTGCTGCGCTGCACAGTCAACCTGGACCACTCTATCCGCCGCCGCATGGGCCTCATCCGGGCCGTCAGTGCGCTCAAGCCCCCCAGCCCCCCCAAGTCCCCCAGCCACGAACCCCCCCAGCCGTCCAGCGGCGGCAACAGTACCTCCAGGGGGCTTCGGGCAGGCCAGAACACAGGACACAGCTCCGGGCAGGTCAGACAAGCCCAGCCTGCCCCCCCAAACTGGACGTTGGGGCCCAAGACAAGAATCATGGCCTAAGTGCCTTTCCTAGAGGGCAGTCCAAACCAGGTGGACCTTAAGTCGGGGTGCTCTGGGCAGCAGTCAGCCCCGGCGAGGGCGTAGGAGCCCCCACCCGGCGCATGGCCCAGGGTCCCACCGGGTGTGTGCGGATGGGTCCCCAAGTGCGTCTGGGAACAGGAGGGAAGCCGTCCGCAGGAGTGGCACAGCTGGCCCGCAGAGTGGATGCCGGAGCAGAGGCCCAGCGAGCAAGTCAGGGTTCAAGTGCAATAAATGAGGTGTGCCAGTCCCGACCCAGCTCGTGCTGTGTCCCAGACCGCATGAGGGTGGCGCCTGCTCAGGACCCGGCACCCCCCCTCCTCCCCCTATTCCCGCGCCGTTGGCAGGAGTGGCTGTGGGGGCGGTGGGTGAGAGGGCAGGGACTGAGGAAGGAGGGATGTCCTGGCTGACTCAGGCCATGAAGCGCGCCCAGGCCTCGAGGCATCCAGGTCCTCATCGCTGCATCCTCACCTGTCCCTGTCAGAGGGCCAGGTGGCTGTTGGCATTTCCGAGGGTGGCGTTCCCGGTGACCTCAGCGGACGCCTGCCTGCCTTCCTGGGCTGCCACGGCCCCGCCTACCAACATAATGGCTCAATCAGGTCTCACTGGAGCCCTCTCGCGGTGAGGGCGGGCACTGCGCACGCTGAAGCCGACTGCGCCTTCAGAGGATGGGGGCGTTGAAGGGACTAGGACACAAGTGACTCAGGCAGGCCAGGGGAAGGACTCTGAAGGTGGGTGCCGGCCGCTGCCAGTGTGTCACCACCTTGGCTCACACCAGTGGTGTCCAGGTTAGGATGTGGCTCGCCAGTGCGTCCTGTGCCAGAGGCTGGGTTTGGCTGCCAGGATCTTAGAGGCACAGGCCTTGGCTTGGCCACTCCTGGCTCTGCTGTGGAACATGCGCTCCAGAGACTGAACCCCAATCGCCCACGTGCAAGGCAGGCGCCTGAACCCTGCATCCTCTCCACAGCACCTGGTCCCCTCCTCTAGCCCCAAAGCTGGGCACAGCACCCCCTACCCAATGACTGCTCTAAAGTGAGCACAGGGCAGAGCTGGCACTGGGATCACTCAGTGCAGGCAGAAAACCAGGTAGCCTGCAAGAGGGGCACCTTGACACCTTGGTTAGCGTGCAGGTGCCCTTCTGGAGTCCATAGGTGGTTGCTCCCTGTGCCTGCAGCCAGAATGGGGACGGGCAGATGAGCCATGCAGGCTTGCTGGTGGTGAGCAGGGCAGCAAGCCCCAGGATCCAGAGAGGTGGTGCCAAGTCCCTTCCTCTTACAGCCCAGCCAGATGCCACCTATGGCAGCCGGGGGATGGGCTCGTGGGACACAACCGAGCTGGCATGAGTGGCGGTGCCCACTGAGCTGCCATTTTTCTCCCAGGACACTTGGTTTTGTCCTGGGGCCATACTTGGCTGTACTCAGAGTTAGCTCCTAGCGAGGCTTGAGGTCCACAGGTAGTGGCAGGAGGGCACATTTAAGGCACACCCCCTATACTCTCTCCAGCCCTCGCTGTCTTCAAAGCTTGGGGAGCGCAGGGCAAAACTCGAGTGGTTGTAGGCAATGGACTCTATCCCCCAGAAAGCCCCCAAAGGAGGAATGAACACAGCCGAACTGGTCTGTTTAACTCTGGGGGTTGCCAAGCCAGGTCACAGAATCTGGGGGTGCTGAAAGCAATTCCTCTCTCCCTCAGTTCCAGGAGGCATATATGGGACCTGAGCCCAGGGAGGCAGGGTCCTAGCCTCAGAGTCTGGGGGGAAACTGGGGTCAGAGAATATCAGACCCCCAACTCCTGTCAGCCCCCCTCATGCAAGCACTCCAAGGGTCCCCCAGCCCCTGCAGTAGCCTGACCCATGGGAGGGGACACTTCCTCTTCTCTGGGGTCCTGGGCCCCCCAGCACCCCCCACCCCTGTATGGGGGTGCGGGAGCAAGGAGGACCCCATGGGGTATTGCCAGTCAGACCCGAGGTAGCATCTCTGGGGCTGATCCCTCACCAGCTGAGGGGTGTCTGAGTCCACCATTAGGGCAGGGACACAGGCCAAGGGGCACTGGGTGGGAGACGGTGGGTAGTGATGGTTCTGACCCAGCAGAGGACCTTCCCAGGGCATGACAGACAGCAGCACGCAGTGAATGCAGCTCTGGTTTATTAGAAAAGGTGAGAACAGAGTTGCACCGACAGGAGACCCCCCCGCACCCCTCCCCCGGGGTTGTAGTGCCTCTCAGGGCGCCCCCACAGAGGGGCTGCGGAGCCCGGCTGCTCCCCACCCCGGCTCCCTGATAGGTTTATTGCACTTAAGAAAAAAAGCTCTGATCCTCTGCCCTGTCCCCCACCCACCCTGCTCTGCGATCTGGGGCTCCATCACCACGCACTGCCCCGGCCTGCGCCGGCCCACCCACCACCACCCATGGCACCCTCACGGGGTAGCCGGGACCCCTGGACCCCCGGGCCCTGTGGACAGCCTCATGGCCAAGGACCTCGCCGCCTCCCGGTGCCCCCAGCTCCCCCCACGGCCAGACACACACAGGGATGCTCTGGTGGGGCGGCAGGGCCCTGCTCTGGGCGTCCGCCCCCTGTAGTGTTGGGGGGCAGGGTCCCCAGGGAGGCCCCACCCCGGTGTCCAGGCCTCCGGAGGCTGGGGGGAAGGGCCAGCAGTGTCTCATGGCTCTGGCCTCAGCTCCTTGAAGACCCCCTGGAAAAAAAGGAACTTAGGGAGACGGGGAGGGTCAGTTGGCGCCAGGCTCCGTTCCCATCCCCACCAGTCTCCACTCCCTCACCTAAAGTGTCACAGTGTCTCCTGCCCGGAGTCCTGACTGGCTTCCAGAAGCAGCTTCTCGAGCTCCTGCTCATTCCGGGAGCAGCTCAGCTCTGCATGAGATGGAACTCCATGAAGGGGCAGGGGAGGGAACCCCATCCAGGGGCAGGGTTTCTGAGGCCCCAGCCCCTCTTACCGTGTTCCAGGCCACAGCTGCTCCCCTTGACCTCGGGCCTAGGGGGCGGCTCTGGGGGCAGGGCGAGGGCAAACTCGGGCTTCAGGCCGTTGGGCAGTGGCTGACCTGCCAGCGGCGGCTCCTGTGGCGGCGGAGGCTCCGGAGTGCCGGAGTCCTGGGGTGCCCTGGCCTCAGAGGGTGGGGAGAGCGGGGCAGGCAGCAGGGGGGCGTCCACTCTCTCCGGGGGACTCTCCACCCGGGTCACCACAAACACTTTGTGGCCCCGGCCGGGGCTGGACACGGAAATGCGTTGCTCAGCAGGGGAGGAGGGGCTGCTGGGGGGCACCAGGGCCGGGCAGGGGGCGACTGCCTGCTCTGCAGCCGCCTCCTCCTCCTCCCCATCCTCCCGCTCCGAGTCTGAGTCTGAATCCGAGTCCGGCTCGGGGCCAGCCGGGGCCCCGTTCTCGTGGGCGCGGGCTGCAGCGGGCGGGGGCGCGAGGTCGGGGTCCCCGTGGGCCGGGGCGGCCGTGACCGTGATCTCGGGCATGGCCGCAGACAGCTGCGCCTGCTCCTCGCGCTCCCGCGCCAGCACGAAATTGCGCTTGCAGCCGCTCTGGATCTCGGCCAGCAGCGCCTTCTGCGTCTCCAGGAAGCTCTTCACCTGCAGGGACAGGGAGCCGGGCTCAGGGGGCTGCTCTGGCCCGGCCCGGCCCCCCCCCCCCCCCCCGCCCCGCCCCGCCCCGCTCACCGCCTCCTTCTTGGGCTCCCGGTCGAGGTCCAGGCGCAGCAGCGAGTGGTTCACCTTGAGAGCCAAGGACAGCGCCATGAGCCCGCCCGTCTTGATCTCGTTCTCCCGCAGGTCCAGTCTGAGGAGGCGGGGGCTCTCGGCGATGAACTCCGCCACGGCCACCGCGCCTGGGAGGGGGACCGCAGGGGCTGGCCACGGGCCCACGCCCACCGCAGCCCCGCCCCGCCCGGCGCCCCGCCCCCGCCCGCCCGCCTACCCTCGCAGGTCAGCTTGCTGGAGGCCAGGCCGAGGCGCAGCACGCTGCGGTTGCTGATGAGGCCATTCTTGAGGCTCCGCGCACCCTCGTTGCCGATGGGGTTGTGGCCCAAGTTCAAGGTCTCCAGGCTCTGGGTGTGGGGCTGGAGTGGAGGAGCGGCATGAGTGGGCGAGTGAGGATGCCCCCCACCCCCACTCCCCCACCCGGCCAGCTCTTGGCACCGAGACCCAGATGTGGGTGTGAGGGCAGGTCCGGGCTCAGTGGGCAAGTATGGTGGCCCCCGTATCTAATAAATCAAAATGCTACTGAATCAAAACTGAAGGGCTGGAGAGAGGGTCCGGGGTGAGCGCAGGAGCCCTGTGCAGGTGCAGCCCTGAGCGCCCCAGAAGCCCCTGGCCCCCCACAGAGGACGGAACGCAGCAAGGATGGGGATGGCAGTCAGGTGGGGTGAGTGAAAGGCGGGTGAACCAAGTATGTGTGTGGGGGAGGGGGGCACCGAGGGCCAGGGAGGGTGCACTAAACGAGACTCAGTGGGCGAGGGGAGATGGCCCCCAGGACTCACCAGCGTCATGCCCAGGAAGGCCATGCCTGTGTGCGTGAGCTGATTGTTCCACAGAACCAGGGTCACCAGCCCCTTCCGCTGCTCCTTAAGGCCCTCGCAGATGTAGGCCAGACCTGGGGGAGCAAGGGAGTCCTGTGGGGTTGCACTCCTGGGGCATGGGGATGGGACGGCGACCCCCAGCCCCACTCGAGTCTCAGGACCTCTGCTTAGTCCTCTGCAGCCCTCCGTGGGCTGAAGGAGGTGCTGTCTCCTCCCCTGGCGGTCTCTCAGGGAGATCCAGGGGGTGGGGTATTCCCCCAACACACCGGAGCTCTCCGGGCTATTCTAAATGTTAGGGATGATCAGTCCTATTCTCAGCCCCACAGGCTCCATTCACTCCATTCAGTACTTGAGAAAAGTCCCCTGCTCCAGGAAGTCCTCCTTAAGCCCCCGTGCCTGGTCAGACACTGCTCTGGGCTCTGCAGTCCCGCCCAGGGTCCGCACCTGAGTCCAGCACGTGGTTGTTGCGGAGGTCGAGGATCTGCAGGGAGCAGTTGAACTTGAGCAGATTGCCCAGCTGGGCCGAGTCCTGCAGGCCGTTGAGCTTGTTGTCGGCCAAGTACAGTTCCCGCAGGTTCATGTTCATCTTCAGGGCGGTGGCTGGAGGGGACGGACAGACGGACGTGACCGGCCGGCCCCCGTGCAGGGCAGCGGGGCGGGCGGGCGCGGGCCTCACCGAGCAGCATGAGCGGCCGGCCCGACAGGCTGGCGCTCTCCAGGTGCAGCACGGCCAGGCTGCTGCGGATGCGCAGGGCGCGCGCCACGAAGGGCGCCGAGTGGTCGAGCAGCGGCGTGTTGCGGGCGTCCAGGTACTGTAGGCAGCTGGTCTGCGGGGCCAGGGGTGGGCTCAGGAGGACCCCCACACCAGTCCACCACCCGGGCTTTCCCATCAGGGGAAACTGAGGCCGGGGAGCGGGAAGGGGGGCAGAGACCCTGTGGGTGAGACGGGGGTCCAGTCCCCACTGAAGGCCACGCGAGCCCTGGAGGGAGAAGGCCCCAGGGGAACCCGGCACCCACCTTGCGCATCATGTGGGCGGCAGCCTGCCATCCGCGGGTGCCGATGTGCTTATTGAAGGAGATGTTGAGGTGTGTGGCTGACTCGTAGTACTCGATCATGTCAAAGAGGGCCGAGGCGCCCTGAGAAGACGGGGTTCAGTCAGCACTGGGCCCCCCCAACCTGTGGGGGTTGTGGGGGGGTGATGCAGGCTGAATAGGGGGGGCTAGGAGCCAGGGTGAGCGCCCGGAAAGGCTCCCCTCAGCCGGCTCGCTGCAGCTCCCCTGCTTCCAATGTGTCTGCTTTTGGGGTGGGTCCAGAGGCCCTGCTGGGGGCCACCAATGTTGGGGTCTCAGGAGCCGGCCTGAGACTCTGACTAAATCCCCTGCCCCTGAAAGAAAGAGCTGGCCCTGTGGCCCACTGAGACCCCAACACACCAGTCACCCTGTCCACTCTGATCCCCCTGCCCGAGGGTCCCCACAGCAGGTGCGGGCACTCACGTCCTCGTCCAGGCTCGTCTGCTCCAGGTCCACCACTCGGAACTGCAGTCTCTTGAAGACCTCCTCCAGCGCCTCGCACGTCTTGTAGTCAAGCTTCTCGCCTGCAAGGAAGTACGGCACTCAGTCTGCGACACGTCTGGCGCAGGGCCCCCTTCCCCCTAATGGCAGCCCCTTCCCCTTGGAGCTCTGGGCCCAGCAGGATCCATGAGCACCCCCAATGGGCCCCCGGGGGTCCACACACACCTTTCAGGTCCAGACAGTCGATGCGGTGGCCCAGGTCAGTGAACTCCTGTCAAGCAGAGGGTGGGGGCTCAGGCAGGGACCCCCCTCCCCCAAACCTCACCCCAAGGCCTGGCCAGACCTGCAGGTCTGTGTAAGCTGGACAGATCAGGGGAGCAGGGGATAGGGAGGTCCCTGGCAGCAAACGCTTTCAGCCAGGGAGGCATCTGGTGCAGAGGCCATGAGCTGGCTTGGGTGAAGTTCCAGCCAGGGTCACACAATACTGCAGAGCCATGATCCCAACGCCCACAGAGAGAGGCTGTGCCCCCTCCACGTGCCCAGGGCCAGTCTGAGTGTGTGACCCTGGGGTTGCGACCAGTAGCGATGCCTGGGGAGAGGGGACTTAGCAATTCCATTTTTTTTTTTAATAATAAGCTTATTATTTTGGGCTACACTTGGTAGTACTCAGGGATCACTCCTGGAGGGACTCAGGGGACCATATGGGGGGCCAGGGATCAAACACGAGTGGCCATGTGTGAGGCAAGCGCCCTCCCATTTGAGCCCCTGGGTTTTGTGTTTCAGGTGTGGAGTAGTTGCTGTAATTCAAGGACACCTAGATGACCCTGGACCCCAGACTACAGGAATGAGGACAAAGAAAGAAAGAGATTACGGGAGGAGGTGGAGGCGGGTGGGAGGTGATGGGGCCACATGCTTGTGTCTGGACCAGAGCCAAGGCCCAGCAACAGGAGACTTAGACCAGAACCATGGACACATCAGGAAAGTGAGCTGGGGGTGGGGAGGGACCTGGGGATCTTGGCGGAGTGAAGGTGGTGGGACTGGTATTGTTATACAATACCCAGAAACTCTATTATGAACTACTTTAAATCACAATTTTAAAGTGTATTCAGACTTTCAAGAATAGGGGTCAGGGGCTGGAGCGATAGCACAGCAGGTAGGGCGTTTGCCTTGCACACAGCCGACCCGGGTTCGATTCCCAGCATCCCATATGGTCTCCCAAGCACCACCAGGAGTAATTCCTTAGTGAAGAGCCAGGAGTAACCCCTGTGCATTGCCGGGTGTGACCCAAAAAGGAAAAAAAAAAAAGAATAGGGGTCAGAGAGATAGTACAATGGGGAGAGCGCTTGCCTTGCACATGGCCAATGAGGGTCAATCCCCAGCACCCCACAGGGTCTCCCTGAGCCCTTTCAGGAATGACCCCTGAGAACAGAGCCAGGAATAAGTCCTGAACATTGCTGGTGTGGCCCAAAAACCAACCAAAGTCAGACCCTTAAGAGTCAATGGCAGAGATGAGAATAAGCTCGGCCTGCAGCCCCCACGGTGCAGCCCCCAGACACTCGAGATGTAGGCCCCACTGTACCAGAGGATTTTGGGGAGTGCAAATCCCGAGATTTTTTTTTCTTTTTGATGCTCAGGGCTTCCTCCTCGCTCAGTGCTCAGTGTTCACTCCCAGCAGGACTCAGAGGACCGCATGGGGTGGCCACATGCAAGGCAAGTGCCCTAGCCACTTTATCCACCCACTCCAATATCCTTTCCCATAGTCTACATGGTGACAAGCTCGCCAGGGCCTGGTTCCCTTCACAGATGTGTCCCCACAGTCATGAGCCACAGGGTCCCCCAACTTTGTACCTGGAGCTGCCGGAGGAGCTTGGGGATCTGCCTGCAGCTCAACTTCTGGCACGCCTGCTTGTAGGCGCCAATGACCTCATCCACCGTCACATTCTGAGCTGTGGGCACAGGAACAGGCCGTGACTCTACATACCTGGGACCCTCACAGCCACCCCCACAGTTCCCCACCTCCAACCGCCCAAACCCAGTCACCATCATACCAGGTTTGTGCCCTGTCAGCACCCCCCTCTGTCCTTGATGCCACCCAAGGGCAAGACCTCAATTTTTTTTTTGGGGGGGGGCACCTCCAGTGGTGCTCAGGGCTTATTCCTGGAGGGAACTGAAGGTCCCTATATGGGATGCTGGGGAATCAAACCTAGGTCAGCTGTGTGTAAGGGAAATGTCCTACCCACCGTACTATCTCTCCGGCCCCTTGATTTAAATTTTTCAAAACTATTTTGGGGGGCCGGAGTGATAGCACAGAGGGTAGGGTGTTTGCCTTGCACGCAGCCAACCTGGGTTTGATCCCCTGCATCCCATATGGTCCCCCAAGCACCGCCAGGATTAATTTCTGAGTGCAGAGCCAGGAGTAACCCCTGAGCATTGCTGGGTGTGAACCAGAAAGAAAAAAAAAAACACCCTATTTTTGGGCCTCCAAGCCACTCCTGGTGATTCCTGGCCAATGAGGTCAGAGATTTCATGCGAGGGCAAATCAAACATGAGACCCTGTAGACTAGGATGTGCTCTTTAGGCATTAATCCCCTGCAGTCAGGTACACCCATAAACACTGCCAGACAGTCACCGCCCCAAGACAAAGAGCCCCTGTAAGGGAAAGGGTGAGCAGTCAGCAGACTGGTTCCAGGTATTTCTGGCCCCAAAGCTGTGCTGGTGCCATTCCAGCACCCCAGACCCTCTGCTGGCCCCATGGGGAACCTAAACACATGGCTGAGGTCCGGGCGGGTGCAGTCCCGCCTGCTCCTCCTTCATGCGTTCACCTGGACAAGGAGATACCACCCAGGAATGCAGGAACTCCCACACTTTGCCCCTCCTTCCTGGGTATGCAAAGGGGGTGTGGGTGGGCAGGGGTGGAGCTGAAGAGAATGGATCCCCCACTTAGAGACACCCACAAAGGGACAGGGTCTCCCCTCCAGGGTGCCTCAATGGGCCCAGGTTCCCCGCAGCAGAGAATCCCACATCGCCTTCTCCCCCAGAGGTCATGAACAGAGTTGGGGATCCATGTGCCCAGAGGGCAGCGACCCCTGGCATGTGCTCTCCCCAGTAAAGGGCAGAGATCCCCACCCCATGCCCCCAACTAAAGGAGAGACACAAGGGAGTGCAGGAAAGGGGTGCCCTGCCCCTTTCTGCAGGGACACAGGAGAAGGGACATCAAGTGCTATAACAGGCTCAGGAGAAAGGTAAGACCAGCATCAGGGCGTGGCCACCGGAACATCTGGGCAGGGGCCCCTCACCCCAGAGCAGAAGAAACCCAAGGCAATGTCCGGGGATGGAACAGAGGGAAGAGAAGCAGAGCAGATCCCCATCTAGAAAGCAGTAGTGCATGGGGCTTCTGGGGGAGCAGAGGAGGAGGTGGGGGGCTGTCAGGGGCCAAGCAGGGCTAGGGTGGCCCAGGGCTGATTACCCATGCAGAAGTCATAAGAGCTGGCACCACAGGCACTGCATGAGGAACCCAGAGTGGGGGCAGGGGTAGGGATCCCTCTACAAGCCAAGCCAGCACCTCCCAGGCACACAGAAAGCCCCTGCCCACCCATCCCAGAACTCCCCAGGATGCTGCTCCCAGGACTCAGATCTGGGGAACAACGTGTCCCTGCCACCACCAGGTGTCTAAGCTTCCCAGAGGGCAGCCACCTGGGGCCTCCCCTCGCGCATGTGCAACAGGAGCCAGTGGCTTCCGGGCTTCTTCCTGGTGCAGCGCTACAGCACGGTAGGGTGGAACTGGACAGGAGAGGATCTAGAGATCGCAAAGCCTCTGGGCTCTGAAATACGGAAGATGCAAAGCCTTCAGGGAAGGTCCCCAACTCCGGTCCAGCTCTGACCCCTCCCTCCAAAGTCTGACTAGCAGCTCCGACTTCCCTGGTGCGCAGCTGCAGGAGGGCGCCTGCAGAGCCCCAGCCACAACCCGGCTGGCACTTCCCTCACGGGCTCCAACTCGGTCCCTGTGCCAGGCCTGCAGGGCCCCAGGAGGTGAGGCTGGTACATGCCACTGCCTCAAACCAGGTCCGGGGCCTTCCTCCATGGGGCTGGCGGTACCCCGCCTGGGCGCCTCTTTCCACCTGGAGCCGGTGACACACCTGTCCCAGAGACCAGCCGCTGCCGGGTGCAGGCGGTGCTACTCCCCAGCTGCAAGCAGAGGCAGTCTGCATCCGTACCACTCACGTGGGACCCCCTTTCGACTGGGCTACTCTAACTTTCCCCATTCCAACCTGTCCACAGGCATCTCAGAGTTAACTCCCCAGAGCAGGGAGCAGAAGCTGAAGAACTCAGCCCTGAATGGCACAGTGGAGAGCTGGTTTACAGCAGCAGCAGCAGCATGGGGGGGGGGGGGGGGGGGGGGAGAGGCTGAAGCTCAGAGGGTTAGGGGGTGGTGGCTGGTCAGGTACTGCCAGGAGCAGATCCTGAATAGCATGGTGTGTGCCCTGTCTCCCCAACACCCCACAAGGAAAAGGAGGCAGGCGCAGGGTGGTGCCGTCTGCAGAGGTGGCATGACAGGCACCCGCACCCAGTGTGGTCTGAGTGGGGCGCCCAGTCTGAACTCAGACAGGGAGGGAGCATCCCCAGAAGTGGGGAACACAGAAGCGCCAGCCCCTCCACTGGGCTTTCCGGTACCTTCCTGGAGGGCAGAGGGCGCTGCTGGGGCCAGGTGTCCCCAGGTTCAAAAGCCAGTCAGGAGAGGTCACAGGGGAGCCCTCCCAGGCACCGGAGCAGGGCCCTGAGCCCCAGGTGAAGGTCTAGGCTTAGCTCGCAGCCGAGCCAGTACCTTGTGACCCCTGAGCACTGGGTGCAGCCCTAAGCCCAGCCCACCCCCAGAAAAGGGAGTGGGAGAACTGCTGCTGCACCAGGGCCAGGCCAGGGTTCACCCCGGGTCACCAAAGGGAGGGTCCCGCGGGTCCTCAGGCAGCGTACCTGGCGGCACCCTGAGAAACCTGACCACTAATGGTGGGCCACCCCTGTGAGCCCCCAAACCAACTGACTACTGTCCCAGCCCAGTTCCCAGGCGTCTCCGCACCCCTGGGAAGGGCTCTGAGCCAGGACCTCACTCAGCCCTGGGTAACACTCCCCAGACGATGCCTCTCTCGCAGCTCAGCTGCCATGGCTGTCAGCCTCCAAGGTCAGCCCCCAGAGTCAGTGCCAAGCGTGCCAAACTGACTGGCTTCCAGGAGGAAATGTCCTGGGCTCAGCAGGTCCCTCCCCCTGGTTGGAAGACACCCCGCCATCTGCCCTGTGTTCGAGGGCCCGCTGGTGGCCTGGTCACGCCAGCCTCACTAGGTTTCTGCAGGGGGCACCCTGTGGAGGGCGTGCCGAGGAAGCGGCACGACGGCTCACCACATCTTCTGCTGCACCTCCAGCATCCCAGGTCCCAGCTTCCACTGCCACCAGCTTCCTTCCCGCTTGAGCCCCCTGCTCCTCCCCTAGCCCGCCCCAGCTCCATATCACCTCCTCTGAGAAGTCCTCTTTGACTCCTAACCTCTGTTTACTCCTCTAATCTCGGTGGGAGACCAAGAAGCCAGCAGTGATCGCCTGAGTTTGGGGAGCCCCTGCAGAAGCCTCTGGCTGAGTGAATGAATGAGGGGAGGAGCTGTCCTCCTGTCTCCCTCCTGGACAAGTGTGTCAGGACTCAGGGTGCTAGGGTGAGGTCCTGCTGGAGGGCTGGGCTGACACAACATCCCTGCTGGGCAGGGCCTGCCCACTGACAGCTGGCAGGTGCCTGGGGCTGGCCCATTTACCCCTCACTACTCCCCATACCCTGAACTTCCAGCCCAACATGACACAGGCAGATCCTGTTACACGTGAGGGGCCAGGTCCCCCAGCACCCCCACCCAGCAGGTGCCAATACACAAAGGGAACGCCCCACAGTGCAGCCGATAGAATGAACACGGAGGGGGAGCCTGCACCCCAGACACGGCACTTTCCATGTCACTCCGTGGACTGCTTTTGACCACACCCTGCTTTGAGGGGGACGATAAGGAAGGGGGCCATGTGGGCACCCAGCCCTGGCAGTCTGGGTTCCACAATCCTTGTCATCACATATGACTGGCACCACCTTTCAAGATACGGACCCTCCCCCCTTTTCCAGAGGAGAAAAGTGGGGCTTAGGGTTAGGAGGACTCCAGCCTGGCTCCAGCGTCCCTCTGCGGGGGGTGCAGATGAGGGCCATGTGTAAAACAGGGACCCAGGATGCTACAGATCACATGTGCCTAAGATCACATCATGCCCAATCGAGGGCACTGCTGAGATGTGTGTGCCAGGCACACCTGGTAGTCTGAGCCTCCCGCGGGGGTGGGGAGGGAGTCCCTGAGAGAGGTGGGCATGCGAGAGCCTTGTCTGGGGGGCTGGTGGAGCCTGGGGGCACCCAGTTCAGAGACAAGTGCCCTGAGAGGAAGCATGTGGGTTCTCCTGAATCCGTAAGAGTACCGACAGACCCCTGCGGGGTCACCAGTCCTGGTTCTGGGGCTCTCCAAACTCCCTCCTGGGAAGAGGCCTGTGCACTCCGTGTGCCAGTCACTGCAATCTCCACACCTACATGGCAACACCAGGACACGGAAGCTTCCAGAAGCAGCAGTGTGAGAGCCCCCAGGGATGGGGTAGGGGGTCCCTGCTCTGATGACCACCCCACACTGCCCATCACCCAGTACAGCTCCGGGGGGTTGATGGCAACCAGCCAGTCTGAGCTGCCTCAGACTCCCTCATTTGTGAAACAAGTGACAATTGTCTGCCTGGTGGGACCGGGGAGGGGGGCCCACGTATGCTTCTATGGCCTCCGGAACCCAACTTTGCTTGGCTCCACCCCTTTCCTGGGTTTACTTCTTGCAGAGCTAGAGTCTCACCCCGACCTCCAGGACGCAAAGCTTGTGCTTAGGCCCTGGTCCGCTGGTCTAGGCTG